GCATCGTACCAAAGCCAGACCGTGTGCGTCAGCATTGGACCAAGTTCAGACAATGTCCCTCCAATAAATAGCTTGAGACCGTTGCACATTCACTCTCGCACTCGCTTGTTCGGAATATGGCTGTTGTGTTCCCTTCTGTGAGTCTTTTTTCAGGCACTGGAGCGGGTCAGCAGTCAGATATAACAGATTGGCGAACCAGCAGATATAACGCTAACCATTATTGTTCTGATGGCATTTGTTGCTTCAGAATAATCATACTGGCGTACTCATTTTTGAGTAACGTGGCACCTAGTTGACCAGAATGAAGCATGCGAACTGAGATATGGCTTGACAAAACGATTTAACCATCTAGTATCTGGTCAGCAGCTCTCCCCTTGGTCTCTGAGACATCTAAATTTACCCATTCGATTCACTAGCCCCACATAGAGTAACTATTCATTGCGGTGTCGTGAGAATGGCGCAATATTTTCGGTTATTGACCGGTCACCCAAGGTCACAGCTGATTGGTTCAAACCGTCTGTCGATGTTCCCACACGCTCCGCATTTGGTGCTAGTGTTTTCTGGCCCAATCTACTTTCGAACGATTTTTTAGACGGTGAGCTGAAGCCTCCTCATAATTCATCGTCTCCACACCACGTCCTGTCCATAACCAGTGACTCTGATTCGTTCAAAATATGGGGTAGTGTAAGTTGTACTACTGCCCGAACTTGTCGGTAGTGTATATTTACTTGTATGCAGGGCAAGTCATTTAGAATGCCAATCCCCTAGAGTACCATATTTACACCTGAGTGCTCCGTACGGTTTTACCTTTGCCTTAAACCATGACCCTGGAGCTCACCTAGCTGTTATGATCGATCACCCGTCCGCCAACAGTGTTTGTCACACAACGCCAAGACTGGAACTCACTGCATGCCTCTTCCTTCCAAATTAAGCCTCATACTGCCCATCAGCCACAAACCCTTGGGTGTGGATTAAAATCATTCTTAGGAAATTTTACGTTGGACTAAATAGTGTTGACTTGCACAAAAGTGTTAGCTGTTTCAACGCATGCAATAGGGCGTGATGCTCACGTGACGTGTGTTAGCTGTTTCAACGCATGCAATAGGGCTTGATGCTCACGTGACGTTTTAGTCAACAGGTAGCATAAGTTGCATACAGAAGAGAAAACACTGAAAGTGTTGTGACAGAACCCCCTCCAACTATCGGTTGAATTTTGTAACGGCCCCTTCTTTGGTGTGATCGCAAAAGCTGTACGGGACAATTCCATTAAAACAAACTGTTTGTCTTCCCGAAATATGGATTTGCTGTTTCGTCGGAGTGGTAATAAGCAGGAAGTCTTGAACTGAGGGTGGGCAATAACTCCACGGCTATCAATGCTAGCACCGGACGTGCCTATGCTCATGGAACTTCATCCACGTTTGCCACTGCAACTCAACCACGGTGAATTGGTGTGAATGAAGGTTTAGAGGGGGACTGCTTTCCAAAAGATCCCAACTTTGGTAGCTTTTTTCAGGTTTCTTTCGAGTTGTGAGATTTCGCGAGGTGAGAATTATTCTCAGGGGGTTGGAGCAGAACCTTTGTAAGTAATGAACGAAACTGATGTAGTTATCCCCAAGGGAGATCATCTGGAAGAAAGGAGAAGTTGGCCGTTCCTGGTAGGTCGTTTGAAGCGGAACCTTTGTATTTAATAAACAAAAGTGATGTAGTTATCCTCAAGGGAGATCATCTGGAAGAAGGAAGTTGGCCGTTCCTGGAGGTGACCGCTCCTTGGTGAACAGGAGAAAGGTGACTTTCAGGAGGGCGCTACCTTGATAGACTGCTGTTTTCTGCAGTGTAGATAATTCATCTAAGAGCCAATCAGACCTTGGTTTCCAGCTCTCCAATTTAACAAGCGAATGGGTTAACACCCATGACCTGACGAACAGTATCAATAGAGAATTCCATCTACTTTCACTGACAGTCAGGAGAACTAACATCTACCAATGAAAACCCCTCCTAGTATTGCAGGGTTGCCCCCCCCCCCTAGTTGGGGGAAAGGAATCATGTTGGTTTGCCCAAAACGTGGGCATAAGCGTGATGGGGGAATTTGGTGAATTCTGTCTTATTACCTGACGAACAGATGCACGCATTCAAATTTGAAGCGTATCCGGTCACGTGAGATTCACTGTCAGAGCAAACAGGCAGCCCGGAACAAGAAGACGACCGAAAACTGCTGAGTCATCCAACCATCTGTCATCTATGGGAAGATAAGTCAAAACGCAACCGGAACTTTTAGAGTTTCCGCTAGCATCGACGCACTCATTTCCAGCTTCAGACCAGTTAAAATGTGATTGACCATTGAACCGGATGCATTTGTAAGCGCTCCCAACGGAGGGTGGACATTCTCACATGCTTTGGGGAGAAACATTTAGTTGGAGAGTGGTATGATGTGGTCATTGGATTTACAGAGTAATTACCTCTGTTGCAGATGAAAATTCTCCGGCTGAATCGGTTTAGTTTGTGGGAATTAGTCGATGAACTGACTGGCGCGTAGTGGTGTTAATTTTGGCACAAAAGCTCTATCAAACCACGAGCGTTCGTAGCGGTGGCAACCAGCTAACTAGGTGACCAATGGAAGAAATCTTTAAGACGGGGTACTCATCGGTGGTGTACTCTCAAACGGGGCAAAAAAGGTACACGAATGAGCACGTCTGGGCGGTAAAGTTGGAAGATACAAGAAGCAAGGATTAAACAGTGGTTATGCCCACGGTAAAACGATCAATCAAGTCAACCACTTGTGAATGCATAGATTTTGGTTCTCAGCAGGATGTTGCTAGAGAGTGATGTGAACACAACTGAGGAGTAGCCCATTTGTGAAGTGGATCGTTTATTAGATGCGTGCAGCTTTTGGAGTGAAACGATGTAACAATTTTAAAATCTCTCCTCATTTAAATAAGAATGTAATGCGCCGACTTCATCGATTTTCTCTCTGCCCAATCACCGGAGAGGCTACGTCCTGAGGCTTTTCTATGCACCAGCCAATCAGGCGCATAGGTTAGTGTGTCTGATTGCGCCGTATTACTTGTGTGAGAATTCCGATGTAGCTGACTTAAGCCACGCTACCATGAACGAGTGGAGCTTGCACTATATGAACCAAAGCTCCTGGCCATGGAAGTAATAAATACAATTCAACAGAAGGTGGAAATGAGAACTGCATCACGGAATATGATACAGGGGAATCTATAAATGAAGAAACGAGGCAGGCTTGTCTAAGTTACCGGAAGTTGAGCGGCCTGGTGATAAGGTGGTCTTCTGACTCTCGGTTCGTGACACCAATGACCAGGTTAAGTTGCCAGAGAATAAACGTCAAACTGTCTGTTAGCTAGAAAGGCCGTACATTGGGTGAAACGTTGTTCTGGGACAAGAGGTTCTGTAAGCGGTGGTTTTAACCCGAGAAAATGAGGCTGTAGCCTTTTCAGTAAGGACAGCAAGTACCACCAGACTGTGGAGAAGAACGTGCGAAGCAAAGTGACGTGACGTTGAAGGAAACTGACCCCATAGCCTTCTAGCGTTTATAAGGAACTGTAGTCTGAGATAGAAGGGTGTTCTGCCTCCATGTTACAATGCTAAGGATCAGCTTCTGTGTTTTGAAAGTCAATTTAGGGTTTGACGGATAAGCCTGCTGTGTTGCAAGTAAGTTAACTGAAGTGCTCCTGGACTCTCGAATAGCTGTGTTTAGATAGGACTCTCTCAGGTCGTGTGCATTCCTTTCAACCTATCCTTGTAACTTTGGGGTCATATTGTGCAGAGGGTACTCATTCTTGGAACGCAGAGATTATTGGTGGAGACAGATAATCTTTACGCGAGCGAAAGATATTGAATTATTGGAAAAAGTGAAAAAAATGGAAATATTGGGATTACTATCTACAGTGTCTCTAAATCTTTCAACTACTTAAATCACGTCAAAAATAAGAATTCAAAGTAAAACAGGGCAGTAGGTACTGATGAGACTATGATCACGTTGATTTTTTTTTAACTATTACGCACGAAATTGGTCATCCCCATGAAGTTGAAATCCTGTGCTGGGAGGTGCTAACTTGCCGAACGGTAAAAAGGGAAGTACGTCTTAAAATCGGTCCTCTGTGTCATCAAGTTTCGTTCTGGGCACCACAAAACGCCCAACGTTTGGAAATTCTATTCGTGATTATGTGTTCGTTGATTAAACGTAATCCGCATTGGACGCAACACACTACTCATGAGGTCGCTGAAAACTCTACTAACCAGAATGAGGCAGGAAAAAAGAGAGTCCACTCATGGTGCCTCATAGGTGCTTCATAAGGCACAGTTCGTCCATGCTAGTCTAAACATTATACTTCTGGGCTGTCAGTCCCAACACGCAAGCTCGATAGGGTCATTCGCTTGCGGTATCCATCCACGTCCCTGGGGCTTACAGGCTTCCTGGAAAAGCTTCGGGGGATGCCAACAGAATGGACAAGAAGTTCTGGAGAAGCTGCGATCTAATTTATTCATTGAGTTGACTTCATCGATTGTGTGCCTCGATGGTATTTATGATGGGGAGGTGTTGGCAAGTACACCAACATAGCATTCGTCTAACCGTCCATGTGGATAGTTAATTTGATCGCTGGTCGGTGGTCGCGGGTTTTCGCCTGAAGCGTACAGTGGCTTTGTTCGCAGATGCTCGTGCAGTCTGATGATAAACGTGTTGATTTCGCTCTGTTGATTCGACGAATCCCATATAATTTGCGGTTTTGTTCAGAACACTGGTGGAACTCTTGCGCAAATCACTTTTTTTTAGAATATTGCCGGTTTGTTTTCGTGTGTGAGTCAGCCACAGTGTTTGAGTAAACTAGTGGAGGCTTCCAGGGTCTGTCCTTGCGTTTATCCGTGCTAAGCTTGAAGGCTTTTCGGCCACTATATCGTAAAAGTTGGCGAAATTTTCACAAGTCCCCATTCTGATAGATCTCGCTGCTCAGAAATGGGGGGTGGATCTTGGAACCTGTGTCACACTGAATGCACAAAAGAGGGCGGGTGTAAGTAATGAAACCCACAGTCGTTGGTGCTCTCTCGAGACAATTTGAAACCATCTTTGATATTAGAAGCTATCTGCATGGCTTAACAGGGGGAAACCTACATGTGTTTGGGTCCAGCCTAGGGCCTAGTTCTTCTGGTTCGGTCCAATTGATGATACCTCTTGAACGTCGTTTGAACCTTCTGTCCGTCTGTATGGATGAACTAGTACTAAGAACGTTGTGTAAGAGGGATGCTGTGACCTTTGGTCGGGTTGGGATTTTCACCCCCACACCCCAGGTTTTGCTAGTCATTCTACGTGGATTGACAACCACACAGAATCACGTATCAACTCGGCTTATTCAAGGCCGCTTTCCTTACGCTCGCCAATTCCACACCATCGATCCCTTCCCACTGTGATGCCTAGTAATTCCCACCACCTCGGCTATCAGCCGCTATGGTGTGAATCGCAGTCCCCATCCTAAAACTTCCACATTTTCCAGATCTATTCTATTTCCCGTGTCTAAGGCATGTACCGCCATCACTGAGTCTTTGACTAGCATTTGATATTCCTCTGCATTCCTTGTTGGTTTGTTTATCCTTCTTTTATGCTCTGGTGTGCAATTCTCTGACAGCTTGTCCTATGTAAACCTTAGCTCAATCGTTGCGGTTAGGGTTATTCTGTTCAAATAGCCATCCACTGCTGTAAGCCGCGATTTCTTCAAGGTTACCAAGCCTGTTGAGTACAGCTCAACCGGGAGCTTTTGTTTAGTTTTATAGAGCACTGGCTTTAAATTATGAACAATTTCGACAGGCGCACACGAATTTAGTTTTGATTGGAGGCTCAAACAAGAAATTCAGCTAGATTCAGATGAGTCATCGGATCAACATGGGCGAGATGGCCCAAGTGGTTAAAGCGCGAATTTACTGAACGGAAGGTCCGTGGTTCGAATCCGACCTCCACCTCTCGACTTCCCCTGTCTAGGCTTGGACAACCTGGCAGTATCCCAGCCCTCGTGCTTCCTTCGGATGGCATGGCAGCTAGGCACCGGAAGGGTGCTACAGCTGAACGCTTTCTTCTTTCTTTCTCAGACAGTCGGTCATACCTCACGCAATCCAGGCTTTAACACAAGACGGTGTTCGAGATGATCTACCGCCAAGTTTTGCTTGTTGCGTACCGGACGGTACCACCGGCTACAAAAAGCGACACTTCCTGGGTCAACAAAAAACAACAACACTTACTTCAAGCATTTGGGAGTACATGTTCCCATTGAGCTGCGAGAGTGCCAAAGTCGGGTTGAACAGACCCATGGGTCCAATGAGTTGTTGGATTTTTCTTGTATGTCGTTCTTTCTCGCTATCGGCGAATTTAACCACGATACTGGATGATGCACCCTTCAAGATGACAAAGAACAAAAAAACAAGCACATCAACATGTAGCAGTCTTTGGTGTCTGTTCTTTGAGTGTAAATCGAGTCCAGGCATTTGAAAGCATGGAAAGTGTGCCTAATCGGTGGCTAAAGACGTCTGATGTTTGGGAATGGTCCCCGATACAAACATTGACATAGCCAATGGGTCGCAATAGAATCGAAAAACAGCCCAATCAGGCGTGTTTGCCATACAAAGTGAAAAGATAAGCATACCTGTATAACGCCGTAAGTATAATCAATCTGAGATTTGGTTTTTTAGTTGATGTGAGTGGTTTGATTTATAAAGTCTCATCACTGTTTGAGACCGCATCTCCGTTCACCAAAGCAATACGGTGCGTCGGCAGGCATGCTGTGAATGGGTGCATCTGCCCGTAGACCCAATGACCTTCATCCCTGATTGGTTATTTAGGGAGAGGGGAGCGGAAGGGCTCTGTATGCTAGCGCATGATCCCATGTGCTGATTGGTCGACATCCAAGGTTCGTTTCCGATCGGTCAATGCTCATTTGTGCAGAGTCAGTTGGCGCAATTGACGCTTCAGTCTGTTTATCAGTCAGCGACTACCTCGCCGACGCGATAGCACACATTGTCACACCAGTTAGTTTGGATACCAACACTTCTGGGACAATGCACGAGATACCGAATTGGACTGAAGATGTTAGTGATAAGCACTTATTATCCTGATAGGTAAAACTGGCGATATGTTTATTGGTAAGCCCAGTTCTGTAGTTTTGAAGGATGTAATTACGGAAAGCCGGTAAAACATATAAGCTTAATTTGACATGACGGGGCCACAAGTGTGTTAACTTCATTTGGCCCATCTCCTGAAATTCCTAGGAAAGTCTGCGCATGGGTTTTAGAATTCACCCGATCGAGGAACACTCCAGTTCACTCAGATTAGTCCGATGCATGCTTTGACGATTTACAAGATAAACGAAGCAGCCGTCGAGGCCTACACCAACTTGAGGGATCTTTTCCAGATAAACCCCGTCGCCAATGCAAAAAGTGCATAGGCGAAAAGTCAAGCCCTGCCACTTTTGCCAGCTCCAATCAAATGTACGCACACAACCTTGACTTATTTTTGATGAAAACAACTCCTTGTGCGCATCTTGGTTCATTTTGTGCAAAAATATTCTTTGTTCGGACCTAAAACCTTAAATGAACTTCCTGACACTTTCAACTCTAGTTCGTGACAAGGAGACGGCAACACGCTTTTTTGCAAAGCCACAAAGTGATGTATCAGCAACGTTTATGCAACAATGGCCACCAAATGACACTTTCAACTGTTTCTGACAGGTGGAGGTGTAATGCTTGACAGTGTCGGCTAGAAATCGGTCTTTGAAAGGGAACTTGGTTGGAGCGGTCTAGGATGGAGTTTAGGATAGTAATTCTGTTCATTTATTGCTGGTCCCAAAACTTTGGCAAAAATCAAATTCTGCTCAGAGATAGTATCTGTTAGCCACACGGTCGCTTTTGACTGGGAGAACCTTCTTCGCGAAGTTTGCGCCTGGCAGCTTTTGCAGATTCCAACGGTTAATTATACCGGAAACCTTGTGGATCCAATGACTTGAGTTCACACACAAACCATTGAATCTCTTTGTCACTTCTACAAGATGTAGAGTAAACGCCAATGCGGTACATACCGATCTTTAGTGAGCAGCTACTTGTGTGAGTAGTTTGGTGGCAAAGGTACCGAAAAACGGACCTTTTCATGCAAATTAATAATGGCATGTCCCAATTTCATCCTTTTCACTAAAAACTAAAAGTACAAATTCCATATTCTCTTTTTTCTAGTCTTCTTTGTGTGGCGGGGTTTAATTTTCTGGCGGGGATTGTCTGGAAAAGATCCAACTTAAGTAAGTTTGGTGGCAAAGGTACCGAAAAACGGACCTTTTCATGCAAATTAATAATGGCATGTCCCAATTTCATCCTTTTCACTAAAAACTAAAAGTACAAATTCCATATTCTCTTTTTTCTAGTCTTCTTTGTGTGGCGGGGTTTAATTTTCTGGCGGGGATTGTCTGGAAAAGATCCAACTTAAGTACTTGATGAGTCCCAAGAAGGATGAATCTGGTATTGGGTCGTCCTGACATTCCACTTTTTGAGCTGTATTCAACGAATGAAGTAGCTTCAACTTTTAGCAAAAGTTTCATCTCAACTCACTAGTCGTCTGATTCTACTTATTCGGACATTTTCTACAATATTTCAAAAACAGCTCGTAACAAAAATATAAATAAAGATTCTCACTGTCTTGAAAAGTACCATTGTTGCACTTCGAATGGTCAATACACCAGCCTTCTTTCGCTTTCCCCCTGCTCGGGTCATGGCGGGTTTAACCCGTTCAACTGAGACCTTTAAGGAGAAAGAATCATTTCAGCCACTGAAAGGTCTGCACAATGCAACCTGAAGGCCTAATTTCACAAGTGTGTTTAGGGTATGTGGGTGCAAAATTTATTATCCAGCTAAATATTGTGAGGTCGAAGTTGTTTCTAGCCGTTTCAGCGAGATCACTCGACCCGATCATTAGGAGGATTCCAATCTAGGAAGGTTTCATAAATTTGGTTCTGGAACTACGTAACCTCGAACTCTCAGTAGCTCTGAACTTAGCCTGACGGACGCATGACTCTTAAAGGCCGGAGTTGCCTTACCAATCAAGAAGGATATCGGTGGATCTCAAAGGACGCGTAAGTCAGACTAAAATGTGGGCTGTAGTGATGTATGTCTGTGAGACCTTGCCACTCCCGGCGGAGAATCTGAGGCATCTTTGATTAACAATGTCACACAGCCGTAGCTGGAATTAGCTATAACCGGCGAATTTGGGATGAGCTGATCTAGAAGTGTGTTTCTGGTTAAGCGGATTGTACTTTATTCAAACGATGCATTCAGTACTGCAAGCTTTGGTGTCTGGGCTTACGACCATTTATGGCCTGCAGAAACAAACGTCATTTTTCGTATCTACTTCAGAGTGCCGAAAACCTAGAGGTGGACCGGATCTGACAAGACAGATAGGCTTGATGTTACGGAAAGTTTGGGTGTCTTTGGTGCTTTTCGCCTTCCAGGATGGGATCCTTGTGCTTGACAGGATAAGCTGGATCGATATTAGTGGCATTCGTGTCGTCAGATTCTATCCAGACTGTGCAATAGAGTGTTGGAAGGTATCCACCACGGATACTTGTGGCAGGTTGGCCCTGGGCCACCATATCTACCCCGTTTCTTTCTGCTTTCCGTTGTAAGGCTCTATTCAAATAAATTGACACAGTTGTACAGCAGTAAAGCCAATGTTCCGATGATGACGACGTCATCGATCTTTCCACTGCTGTCAGTTTTTGCGTCATAGATAGCTTCAGTATTTATCTCGCGACGGAGTCGTACATGCGAGGTTTATGCTGGACTATATGCAGTGCAGATCGTGGCAGATCAGTACTATACCTGATTTAATGCCTTCTTAGAATTCGGACGTTCAATGGTCCTCTGAAAACAATATGATTACTTTCTAGCTACTTGTATCACTCATCCTGAGTTCACTTCTGCTTTCTGTCGCTGTCGAGTGGCTAATTTAGCCAAAACAAATCTATTTGTTCGTTCCTTGGTTTTTCGACCTCCTTGCGCGCTTTTCAATCAAATCAAACGTGTAACCCTCCGACCACGTCCAAGGTTTTAAATGGCACCTGTATGTCTAGGACACTCTTTTCACGTGCCTAACAACGTTTCTTTAAAATACCTCTCAACCCACACTTAGACCCTGCCTTCTTCTTGTAAGGACGGCGAACAAAAACAGAACGGCTACTTTAAAAGCTATGGATAACATTCTTTCGTAACCTGTCAAAAAGCTCATCCATGTGGTGTTGATATTCTGTAGCACTTCAGTTGTCTAGCGTCTGACGATCCGGATGCGTTCAGGTGCTTTTAGTTTCGAAATCCCATGGACAGTTCTGCTGTCATCTGGTTTACTGTCTCACCGGTTGCATCCTGGACTGACTCATAACATTTCTTGACTGATTCACCCATTCTTCGTACGTGCTTGATAAGCATTCGGAAATCACAAGTAACCTCAGCAGTTCCCCGCACATTTCGGTTCAGCTGCTTGTCAGCCTTCGTCCGCACTGCAGATGTTTCTAAAATTCGCCTCCAACCAATCGTCTTTCCATTGATGTAGATTACCATCAGTGTGTGGTGATGATCTCTCTTTGATCGGGGACGAAGCATTCCAAAGCTAACCACCAAACTCGCATCTGGAAAAACCGCAAAACAGGTACCCTCATCCCAGAACGAACAGTTTTGCAATTTGAGACTATATATCTAGGTACAGTTTATCGATCCTTTGTTTTTAAAGTTTAATGTGGCACATTTAAGTGGCCTTATGTCAGAGAGAAACCGCCTTAAGTATTGATCGAATGAATGCTGAGAGGCTGGAGACCAGTAACCATGCTCAAATAACGCTCAGGCTTCCTTAGTTGGGGAGGGGGGTGGCACAAATCTACACAAGTCGGGTGTTGTGTTGAGTACTGCAGATAGTGAGAGATGGGACACAGCTAAATATGTCCAAAATAAACGTGTTAGCGTTATTTGAAACTTTTTTAATGACCGGAGACTGTATAACAGTATGCTCATGTTAATTGGACACTTATGTTAGCTACATATGTTCCAAATTGGCGCATTATTCTGTTTGTTGCTGGTGTGGTCGAATGCTGAATGATGCCAAGGTGATTCGGGAATAGTTGGTCTAAAGTTCTGAGTGAATGCTTCCGGCATTTGCTCACCACTCTCAAGTCAGTTGAATTTCAGCAGCATGCGATTTTAACCAATCAGCTACGGCGGTTTTTCCTACACGAACTCTTTTGTTTTCCCTCATCACTTCAGTCAATCGATATCCGAGTAGTTTTGATTTGAAAAAACATCGATGTGATCTAATCTTGGCTCGGGGTTTGAAAAAATCCGGGAAGAGTGAGTCAGTGAGTCAGACTTAAGGTTTAAAATCACTCTGGGACCAAAATCACAGCCGGAGTGGTTTTGGGCGAGTATTATACTAAGGTGTATGAAAACACTGGCTTTCTTCTGCATATTCATCGTTCCGTATCAGATGAAAAACCAGTAGGACACGGTGCAAGTGCTTAATCCCTCGAAAGATATTCTTTTATTGTCCAACGGTCAACATAAAGTCGAACACTAAGAGCATCGATCGAACTTCGGATCAATATACCTGAGAATCGCTCACATGGGAATGTTAAAATACAATACACAGTAGCCTGGTCACACTGACGAACATCGTCAAAGGTCTGTTGAGAAAGTGTCTAAATTGGGACATACCGGCATCGTTTGACTCCCGTGCAGAGCAAGAATCGCCGACTGAGCCTCTTGTTGTGACGAGAACTTTACAAATGCACAACCTAACGGGGTAGGAATGGGCGGAGAACGGCACATGGATTAGGGTGTGTCCACCAAAAACAATAGTCAGTTGGTTGGATTGGAACCGAAGACTGGCTTAACGATTTGGTCAGCGAATCGATATAAGTCAATGAGCAAATGCGCGATCGGTGTGTGTGTCAATCCCATCTGGTTTTGGGAAAACGTTCAACCTCGAGACTGTTCCGCTCTAAAATACTCGGTGGCCGGAAAATATGATATAGATTTCACAAAATCAGCGATACGTGATTACACAACGAAGGATGAGCTTTTGACTATGGTCCGTGCGATTGTATGATACTGTAGTTCAAAACGCACTAGTTTGTGATAAGTAAACGACATCTATCTATCTATCTATCTATCTATCTATCTATCTATCTATCTATCTATCTATCTATCTATCTATCTATCTATCTATCTATCTATCTATCTATCTATCTATCTATCTATCTATCTATCTATCTATCTATCTATCTATCTATCTATCTATCTATCTATCTATCTATCTATCTATCTATCTATCTATCTATCTATCTATCTATCTATCTATCTATCTATCTATCTATCTATCTATCTATCTATCTATCTATCTATCTATCTATCTATCTATCTATCTATCTATCTATCTATCTATCTATCTATCTATCTATCTATCTATCTATCTATCTATCTATCTATCTATCTATCTATCTATCTATCTATCTATCTATCTATCTATCTATCTATCTATCTATCTATCTATCTATCTATCTATCTATCTATCTATCTATCTATCTATCTATCTATCTATCTATCTATCTATCTATCTATCTATCTATCTATCTATCTATCTATCTATCTATCTATCTATCTATCTATCTATCTATCTATCTATCTATCTATCTATCTATCTATCTATCTATCTATCTATCTATCTATCTATCTATCTATCTATCTATCTATCTATCTATCTATCTATCTATCTATCTATCTATCTATCTATCTATCTATCTATCTATCTATCTATCTATCTATCTATCTATCTATCTATCTATCTATCTATCTATCTATCTATCTATCTATCTATCTATCTATCTATCTATCTATCTATCTATCTATCTATCTATCTATCTATCTATCTATCTATCTATCTATCTATCTATCTATCTATCTATCTATCTATCTATCTATCTATCTATCTATCTATCTATCTATCTATCTATCTATCTATCTATCTATCTATCTATCTATCTATCTATCTATCTATCTATCTATCTATCTATCTATCTATCTATCTATCTATCTATCTATCTATCTATCTATCTATCTATCTATCTATCTATCTATCTATCTATCTATCTATCTATCTATCTATCTATCTATCTATCTATCTATCTATCTATCTATCTATCTATCTATCTATCTATCTATCTATCTATCTATCTATCTATCTATCTATCTATCTATCTATCTATCTATCTATCTATCTATCTATCTATCTATCTATCTATCCATCCATCCATCCATCCATCCATCCATCACTGGAACGTGAGTTTCTTGTAGCTCATTGGATTTTTGCTCAGATTGTGTTTTGTCGCTTATGCACTCACTATACGTGAATTCTATTCAGCCTTTCTTCAAGGGTGAACAACGAAGTGCTCTTTCACACACTGATTACGTGGCAGTCTGACACTCGAGTGGATCGGAAACGTCGACTCTCTCAGTTTCAACTTGTGTCAAGTCCGTTGTTCAGCTAAGAGAAACGATTTGGCAAATCTCGGAGAATACGCCTTCCTGACAGGCCTAAAATAGAACGTAACCGGAAGTGAACTGTCGATGGTTTTTCAGCAACCTTATAAGTAGTAAGTCATAAAGAGACGTTGGTCACATAGATAATTTTATCTGGGTCACCAGTATAACCAACCGGCTGTTCCTTGACACCAAACATAACAGTGTGCACGTGGGCTCGAATGAACCTTTTCTCACCTTTACTGTTTCCACTTTGGTCTCTGAGTATGGTACATTCCTCAATCGTTCCAAATGGTTCGAATAACCTCCGGACGTCCTCTTCCCCTTGCTGCTTGCTTAGCATGCCCACAAACAGTTTTCGCTCCTCTGGAAAAAAACAAGAACAATGGATTTGATTTCGAGCTAGACAAGTTGAATACAGGGTTTGTGGAAATCTGGTAAAAACTCTGGTTCACTTGGGCAGTCTGAAATGCCCATCGGACGTTGACATCATCAGTGTGTTGGTTCTGTCCTTGCTCCCCCACACACCATAACGACTATCTTCGTCGATTTACTTGCAACAGTGAAACAATCATTATGCCCAAGAATTTCCAGACAGTTTGACTCAGACCGTCGAGTTTACAATCCGAATGTCCACGTTTTGAAGTCTCACATCTGTTTCGCTTTCAACGTACATCAAGACAAAGTTTTGGAAGTAAGAGAAACACCAAATTTTGAGCATACAAAAAATGCAAAAACTATGTAAAACGAAGAACCGTGGCAGGGAGAACATCTGACAGACAATGCACGTCGAATTAAACGACACATTCCTAATACACATGAGAAGAAGGGAACATCTCAAGTACCGTTTTATGCTCCGTACTGACAAAACGTCCTACTGAAATAACCCGCCAAGATAGTCTGAAGTTTATCATCCAGAAATGGTTGGCTCACAAAATGTAGCCATGACTGCCTGACCAAAAACTATAACCGATACGTACATGCACCAACGGCTTTAGATGATAATGATTTTACGCCACAAGGCTTTTTGCTTTGATTGATCGAAACAAACGGTTACATTTCTGTTGCAATAGTTTATCACTGAGTAAATTTTATCTCAAAAAATTTCGTATGAACCCGTTTATCATCACGAGTTCTGTCTAAAGAGACAGTGTATTACAAAGCAAGTCTGTCGGAGCGCAAGTCACCCCCGGATTATGGCCGGACAAACCAGCGTAGAGTCAGTCAGATCCGGGTAATTTCTTGACTCTCAGACTAAAGGAAGTTTCGGAATCTCCTGGTTGATACCGGGGTGCTCGCGGTATATAAACTAGATTCACCTACATTACGTAGCAACCAGTAGACAATCGAAGGCGGGAATTGAACGGCTAGATTTCATTTGAAAGCCCACCTGTCTAACGAACAAGAAGGAAACCGGTCCCGTTGACCCCTACGGACCGCCGTCCTGAAAATTAAACCACCATTCATTTCTTACTGGATCAGTTTGAGATGCCAGACGTCACGAAACGGTTCGCGTGACAGTTTCGAGAATAATAAGGAATTCCAAGGTTGCCTTGATCGGACGGAACTAAGGAAAGACCTATTTTCACTTATCTTTAGGCAAACGACAAAGATTCAAGGAGCATACATGATCATGGTTGCATTACCAGCGATGGCGATTAACTCCAAAAACGTTCAAGTGAGTGACACATGTATAATAGTATAATCCGGTTAGCTACTTCTACAAATTTTACACTGTGGACTGAATCCACGGGTTGGTTAGCTTTTTCAGCGCATGTTACCTTTTGACTAGAATATCAAGAAAACATCTGACACTGTTGACGGTGTGAGAACATTTTGGAATTTTTCGATTCGTCCTGTAACTAATGTCCATCCGTGACGAAAAACCATATTGGGAATCATAAGCAATGCTCATTTCAAGAAACTCCAGGGAGACTGAAATTGTCAGCCTTAGGGGCAGTAGCTAGAGAATAACCCGTTCGACCACGAGTGGATGATCAGCGCTACTCATTGATCAATCACATCACGTGGTCACATACTGACTGGCTTTTTGAGTGATGACTTCTCAGATGGAAGGCCCACTGATCTTGTGACTTATTCTCCTTTCTGAGGCACTTTGTTTGCAAGCAGAGTTGTGAGCACTAATCTCAATGGGATGTTAGCTAAAACGTAGACATTTTCGAGCAGCCTTATGAGATCTCGACAAATTCGTGGTTGCCACCAAGAATCAATAAAGCCGTAACTTGGTCGTCACCAAAAGACTGTTACAGAGTGGTTCTGCAGGCTTGTCTGGGATTTCGTTATATTTAAGAGTCCGATTAAATCATTCAGTTCCAAGGAGGTGGCAAACTGCCGCAAGTAAACTAATCTGTTTCACGTGTCTTGCTTTGTCACCCGTTGCCCAAAGATTCTAGGAAAAGCTTGGCAACCGGTTGCATACTTGCTTTGCCTTGTAAGGAGTTACTACATGAGAACTACTAAAAAATTTCCTCAGCTGTCCATCATCCTGATATAAGGTAAAATGCTTGATTCGCATTTGTAAAATAGGCACGAGTTACCTCAGTTGTACAATGAGTGCACGTGATTCTGGTCTAATGATCCAACTCACTTGACAGGTGCTTTTCTGTGAGAAATTGATGAGAGTTTAGCCGGAAACCGTTAAGGTTTCTTGTTGCGCACTCAGCAATGCAACCGCGTAACTATGGGACGATTCGTTAAGACCATAACGGCCATTCGCAGGTGACTAGCTTACAATGCGTGTCCGATCACAGATTTCTCATCGCGGTACTGCTCAATCGTGCCTGTAAACTACATCTGCCTACTGTCCAGTTAAGTTTGTTCTTCTGTTCTACTTTCAGTTTGGAGCACGGAGAACCCAGTGGATTTTGACTCTAGTTAGTTTATTGGGCTTGTTTGAAAACTGTATTGATAATCTGATTAATTCGGTGTACTACTGATAATCTGAAGTAAGACAGGAACTCGAGTCCGGTTTCTGCCCCTCTGACCACGAGGGACTGCTCAAACAGATAGGAACCCAACTAGTCCGGGAGTTACTCCTAAGGTACGTCTGTGTGCACCGGTTTCAGACAGCTATTTAAGAGTGCCTTCTGAACTGAATACAAAACGGTCCTAAGAATGTAGCAAACAGGATTGTTTGCCGAAAAACCTCTTGACACAAACATTCACACAGTGCACGACAGACGTCGTTTACTTCTTCCCGTCGCCAATAAACTCGAACTTCCTTCAAAACACTGTATTGTCCTCCTTCGTTCACTAGATTTCGTCTGTTACTACATTTCCTGACAGACTCCGAGAATGCAAACGACTCTGTTATGGGTTACACTTTCCCTGACCCTCAGCTCCGGAATGGCTTAACTTGAACTGGTCTTGTTCATCGGTCAACTCATCGAGGTACAAAACGATCAGACTTGCTTCTCGAATTTTGACAAAATATCCACGGCAAGATAACTGACGTCAGAGTTATCCGTAACTACTCTTCCGTCGTTATTTTGGTCTTATCTTAGATTCTGCTGGTCCCCGAACGTTGACATAACTTTGTGTAGTCCGTCCCACCATATCTCATCTGTACTCGTCCATTCAAAATCCTCCTATTGTCTTCTGTTTGCCATCTGACCTCAGTGCGAATAGACTCCTCGATTCCGCACTCCACTCAAACGTGGATTACAGTGGAAAGGGGGATCCACAATCAATAATCTATGTACACAGTACCAATGAAAACAAAGTAAAATGAGAAAACGACATATACAGAGGAACTTTCTGAAAGCCGTAATGCAGGGGATTGTAGCGACCCCGTCACCCATATACTTGACTGTTCAACTCAATCGCTCACTGGATCGCGAGGCTTGTCTATTTTCTCATACGCACAAACACGTCGCATTAAGCTGACACATCGGACATCGATTGTCTGCACCGCCTAGTCAGCGTAGCGACCACTCATGTGCCGACGCGCCCACGTATACGCACTGGGACCTACATAAAGCGAAACCGAACCCAGTCAGGACACACAGACTTGCGCGCGCGCAGGGAGCAGGACGCCAGCCTCCCCACAAGTTCACAGACAACCATGGAGTGCTTGTAGCAGTCGAACTGCGGAGAAAAACACGTTCCTGCCGTCCAGACTTCCACCAAGGGACTCTTGCACCCGATAAGTTCCCTTTTTGACTTGCTCCCATTTCACATTGTATTTATTTTATACGTGTCGCCACCATGTTAAAAACTTCTATTAGTGCACATTCACCTTCTGATTTGTATTATGACTATCGTCACCTGTGCACTAATAGGATAAGGCCGATTCTCGAGGGGCGATGTGGGTCCACGTATCACCTGATTCGTAAGGAAGTTGCGACTCAACCAATCAGATGGTACACTGAAGGCTTGACGAATGGGGCCAAAACCACAACAACACTAGCACAGTTCCATCAACAGATTTTGGGGATAGAGGACCGTCTGTGCGATACCTATACTATTGGATCACCCGTTGTGCGGTGATCGTTCAGTAAGATGGAGTGGTATTAGGCTAGTAGAGGTAGACCGATCATTGTTCTGGTCATGGAATTGGGCGAACATGGGAGGATATCTAAGTGACCGAAAAAGGTAATTGTGTCGAAGAGTCAGAAATCTGATGTACAGTAACGAAACATGGTCGGCAGGATTTTTTCAGGACCGCCAGCTGGCAAACACCGAGTGACGTAGCAGAGGATTCGTAAAAGTTTCTCTTGGATGAGGGAAATAAAAGAAAGCTGTCACTTGTGGGTTGGAAAGATGGGGGAAATTTACTCATGGTAATGTGCAAAGATTCCTGCTTTCTCTGTGGGACTGCTACAAAATTTGTGTCAAAAATTTGCGTCAACAGATAAAAAGGTGAGACGGTAAACAATAAATGATTAGAGTGCAGATTACGCCGTTGTGAGCAAATCAATATCGCGGCACAGAGGGGGGGGGGGGGGAGGGGGGTGGGTGGGACAAGCTTAAATGGAAATTTCTACTGGAAAGGCTTGCAGGTGTCAAGATTTGTTGGTGGGCGTTAGTTACGTTCCTACTCCAGAGCTTGCTTGTCACCAGATTCACTGCGGTGAGCGCTTGGATCGTAAGAGATAAGGTACAGGTCCTAGGTCCAGAATAGGTGAAGCACGATGCGCAGGCTTGCGGACATTCGAGATGCAAGTTAATAAGCATACTTGATGTTACAATACACACCACAGGGATTTATTGATGCTAGGCTAGTTAATCTTAATCGATTTATTCTGCTCAAAGTTTATTCCCTATCTACTGTGCTATGCCACGTCCCCCTGTGTATGCCAGATTCCTTTAGTTTGCCTGCATTCGAGCAATGCTGCCTTTACGGA